CAGTCCTACCATGTTCAACAATGAACAATTATTATTGAGAAAGTAAAAATAAACAATCCTGTTTTCTTGTTTATTTAATAGAAAATGAGGCTGTGCCTCATTTTCTATTGAAACGCTCTTGTGTGACAAGTTTGGTAACGGAAATTTTCTTCATATCGTTGTAAACTATTAAACATTCAAAAAAAAATACCTCGATTAATAATGATTTCTACTAGTTAATTGTATGTTTTGTTATTTTGTATTCTTTAACTCTTACTCGCAACCACAGATTCTTATCTAGTATTCTAGAAGCTATTCTTTCAGGCTGATCGTCATGTAATGTTGCTCTTCTATTGACGCATGAATTTTGTTCAAACTGATGCTCTTTAATTGGTTGTGATGTCAACCACCAATTTGTTAGAAGTGCAATGATTCATCATCCTTGAGTACATACAAGTTTTAATGTTGATCAGCCAACTTCCCGTTCGTTATTTGACATGTGCTAAAATTGTTTAAAATAATAAAATCTTGGTTCTTCAATTTATTGTTGAGTTCTTGGTGTTACATTTGATGGTGTGCTAGTGAAAATTGTTGACAAATCACCACACGACCAGCAATTTTCGACTTGTAGTTTTTTTTTAAAAATATTTGCATATGCAGGGTTCGATATCATGGCAAAAGGTAAAAACAGAATATGCTACCTTAGAGCCACTGCTCACTAGTTATTTATCATCTGTTTTCGACGACCTTTTATAGGTTAACATGTTAACCCGGAAATTAAAAATAGGATTGTTTATTTTTACTTTCTCATTGATAATTTATTCATTGGCAATACTTGCTTTCATCATTATTATTTTGTGCTATTTAAAAAAAATGTCTACATCAGCTAAGCCTTCCGTTCAAGAAATTCAAAAGGTTTACGTCCTTGTTGATGAAAGAAAGGATGTGAATGCTCTTAAAGAATGTGATGCCATGTTGCAAAAGTATCCAGAGTCTAGTGTTTTTCTCTCATTCAAGGCTTTAATTTTGATGAATTTAGGAAAGAGAAAGGAATCTATTCAACTTGTTGATGATGTTTTAGCACAAAAGAAGATGGAATTTCACGATTTTATTCTCCGAACATTGAGTATGGCTTTGGAAAAGGTACACGATTATAAGAGAATTGCAGAATTATATGAAAAAGTATATAATGCCATTCCGGCTCAAGCAATTACACAATATGAAGATGTGATTGAAAAGTATTTCTATAGTTTGGTAAGAAGTAATCAAACTGAAAAACAACAAACAA